ACTAAGCCACTCGTGAATTTTACTACGCGTCGGAATGTCTATAAATTGGAATTGATTGGTCATGCAGCGAGACCGTCCGTCAGGCAGTCAGTCATGCAGGCCGAGAGAACCGGATGCCACGCTGCATTTTTACGTTGTGACTGAACCACACCCGCTCCAATCGTGCCCCTTGTTGAATGAACCACGCCGCAAAAAGGCTTTTCCTTGGTGTTAGAGCTAGGACCGCATGGGGATTTTTCTCTGCCTGGGGAGACATCAACTCGGTTCTGTCGATTTTTGTTGTGAAAAAGGAACACTGATAGTTTAAGTTTGTGTATTCATGATTTGAATATTTAATGGAAAAATTAATTTTCTGAAGGCAGATGTAAATTGTATGCATTTCAGGAGAAACGGAAAACTTTCCTCTATATCTGTTGTGGCCCAGTGTTCCAATGAAATCTATTTTATGGTTTAAATTACAGATGTGACTCAAAGTACAAAAATGTTGTGATAGAACGGCCAGTATACAGAAGTAATTGAAAGCAACTCAAAAGACATCAAGACAGTGCAGTTGTAATATAGACAAAGTGCTACAGCAAGTATTTGACGTAAATATACAAATAAGGAAAGTAGAAATCACAAGAGGGGAAAATGGCATCGGTTGGAGGGTTAAGTGTGTACTCAGGCTACTCACGGGGAACCAGAAGGCCTTCCTACTCCTCGACTTTCTTTCCGCCTGTCGTAGAGAAAGTCTATTCATATGTCCACTCATCACGTAATTATTTTCCCTTTATTGTTACAGTACATAATTACATATCCAGCTTATTTTTTGTAAATGTATTTTTTTTATCTTTATATACCACAAAAATATCAAATAAACGTGCCCATTATACTTGTAAGGACTTACTTCCTCACAGAAACAAGGTCACTTGTATGTATGTATACCTATATCAGATAATTAGAAATTTCCTACACAGCAAACCTGAATATTTTGTAGAGCATGTACCTTCCCACAATTGTTTTAAATATATCCAAAGAACAGAGATAAAATTATTGCAACTCATAAAATAAAATAACTAATCAAGTAACCCTTTATATGCAGTTAAAATCTTGTAATGTTACAGGAGCTGAGGAAACAACTCTTGTGGCAGTTCTTTATGCTTGCTTCTTAAAAAAATGCATTTCCCTCTACAGTTTTAAAAATAATTGAATTGAATATAATCTAGCATTTCAAACTTAAGCTGGGTACATTCACTGTCAACTGTAGTCTTGCTTTATCAATTCTGTTTACACATACATGTCTTCATAGGCACTTAATCACCAAGGAGTCAGTTGTGAGTCCTACCTAATCTCATCTGTGTACACCATTCCTGGGATATTTTTTTTTTTTTTTTTTTTTTTTTTTTTTTTTTTTTTTTTTTTTTTTTTGAGGGGGGGGGATAAAACTTTTCATTTCTAATGCTATTGTTTTCATTACTAGTGTTGTTATAGTTATTAATGTTGATTTTTATTGCAAAGTTATTCACAATACTAATACTATTAAAAATTAAACTTTCTGAAAATTCAAAGCTACAGGTGAGATCAGGTAGGCCTAGTAGGACTCCTTGATGACCAAGCATCTTAAAAGTCTTAAAAGTCTGCATAACCCAAAATTATATATATATATATATATATATATATATATATATATATATATATATATACATATATATATATATATGCAGACTTTCCCACATAATATAGTTTTTCGTCTTAAGAATATTGCTTACATAAATATTATTCCTTTATATATGTATCTTTAAATCTATTGATCTATCTATCTCTCAGTATTAGATATATCAAATTTATTATACATATATTTTAACCCATTGCCGACGGGCATGTCATGCCATGCCCACTCTGAGATTACTTGTTGGATTGTTTTCACACATAGATGGCTACACTTGTACTAAATCACCAATGAGCCAGTTACAAGTACTGCCTGTCTCGCCCATTCACCCTTTTCTTTGATTTATGAAATATTTTATGTTATCTTATTTTGCTGTTACTAATGTTAGAAAACATTATCTTTTTTATAATGTTTATAACAAAAATAACACCATCGATATTCATGGCACTAGTGAAAAATACGTTTTTCCCGCCATTTCAAGTCAGGCACTAACAGAGCCATCTATGGGCAGACATTTCACAAAAAAAAAAATATAGAAAATAGGCACAGCATTTCCTCCATTTTTTGTTCATTTTCCCCAGCGGCAGTGGGTTAACTATCGGCATGTAAGGTGTTTCATTGTTGGTCATTCTCTCAATAAAAACTGATGGTATTTTTCATAATAAATTGCAGCCATATTCCTTTCCTTCTCAAATGCTGTATACATTATTAAATCAATATTACTTGAGTTTCTGCAAAGTCTCTTTTAATCTATTTACATTTATTTATCTTTATTTAAATTTTTTGTTTTATTTATTTATCCATTTATTTTGGCTCCAAACTATTTTTTCAGTAATTGTACATTGGCATTGTTTGATTTTAAGTTTTTACATTAAGTAAGATTTTGTTTACCAAGTTATTTCACATGATTTAAATTTGAAGAATAACTAATAACAGTGGTTAACTGACTAATTTATGTTACTGTTGGTTAAATGTAAAACTCCCAGCTTACTTTTTTTTATTATTATTTGCAGCGGCGATGGTCAATTCTGGAATCATCGCCTTTGTTGCAACAATATTCTTTGTCATTTCCTTCACAAGGTTAGTTTATGTTTTGAGTCTCTGCTTAAAAGTAGTTAGTTATTATATTTAGTTTGTTTAATTATTTTTGTGATTATTATTTTTTTCTTTCAAGATAGACAGAATATAAATTGTAGCTTTAATTAACTCAAAATTAAATTAAGGCCCTTATGCCTCTTAATTATACTCCAACAATATATGTAAGCATTATTCCAAAATGACTTGAAATGTAATGATTATTTGTATTCGTAATACACACACACATGCACATACCCTTTTTCTCAAATTCTGCAGCCCATACTGGCTCCAGTCATACGCCTACACATACAGTGACTTCAACAACATGGGCCTGTGGGAGTTCTGTTTCAATGGCTTCCGTTATCCTAAGTACCAGTTTGACTACAAATTCACCGGATGCAACTACATCTTCTCAGATGAATACAGAATCATCTGGTCATGGATGTTACCAGGTAAATACAACTTAATTTATAGTCTATATCTTAATTTAAATGATAAGATTTATCTACTTGTAATAATTTGACATTTACATTGATATATTAGTAAAATTATATTTATATTGCAGATATTAACTAAATCCTATGTAGTAATGTAATGTATGAAAGCATTTCAAAAAGGAGTATTAAACAAAATTAAACATTTGGTAGCATGAGACCTTATTTAGTTATATTTTTGCATGTGTATCAGGGACAAAGTGCTCATTTCCCTTTTTCATGAACCCATTGGATCACATGCCCATCATATCAAGAAAAAAAAAAAAAGGCTGATGGCTGTATGATATGGGTATGTCATTATGGGAAAAAAATGGTAGAGGATCAGGTTGGTGGGAATATGCCATCATGAGACTTTCAGCTGAGGAATGGGCTGACGGGAATGACTCATCATAAGTGTACGAATTTATTGGAAACAGATAAGACTCATTGGGCATTTAGAAATGGTCTTTTGTATTATTTCCACCTGTAAACTTAGATGGAATGTACTCCATGTGAGCCATGACTTGAACAGTGCCAGATCCACTGTTTCCATGCTCTGGATCCTATTCCTGTCCACCATGACAAGCAGTGAGTAATATATAAATCTTAAAACACAACACTGTCACTTATTGCTATTGTTTCCAAAACTTGGAAATAACAAAAGGCAAATTATGCTTATGCAGAAAAAGAGATAAAAACATTGCAAAGAGTCTTGATACTGGTGAATGTTCCTTTGGGCCAGGCCTACAAGTAAGCCTAAGGCCTAGATTTTGGTCTAGATGCAGGTCATGAAGCACCTCAACTGATTAACTGGGAACAAAGAACAGTGAAAAATTGCCACATAGATTACATGGTGTGAGTCTAGAGGTATTTGTAAATTTCTCTAAAGTTCATTGTACTTGCATATTTCTCTCAAGATTAATGTACCAGTATTTTATATTTGCTGTACTGCATTTTTTTCATACTGTATTTCAATTCTTTATCTCTTGCAGCAACTGCCTTGAGTCTGAATTAATTACTGATGTACATGAAGATTGATTATATACAGATTTAGTATTCTGGACAATCTGTCTCCTGTATATGTAGCCTTGGCATAATTAAGATTCTCCTCAGTCACAATTCTCATACTCATTCCCCTGGTGATCTTCACTGACTAATCCCTTGATCTATCATACGATCCCTTCCTTACTACAAAGAAAGGAAAAAGAAGAATGCCTATTTTACCTCATTCCTAAGTTACCACACAGCTCATCATCATCTTTTTTGTTCCAGCCTGGTTAATGGCAGTGCAGACCTTCATGACTATAGCCCTCTTGGCAAGCATGACCACACTGGTGATAGTGAGCCTTGTTTTGGTGCGATGGCCTCTGCAGTTTGTCATGCGTTATGAATGGCATCTCACAGGCTTTGCATTCTGCTGTCAGGCTGCTACAAGTGAGGCTGCACTTTTTTTCTATTTGGCTTATTGATTTAGAAAGCAAAGAGTTTAGTTGAATTTTATTTAAGCAGCAGCTAGATGTGTTGAGTATACTGGATTTCCATATATTACCCAACTTTAATATTTTTTGACTTTATAAGCTGGAGTAAATATTATTAGAGCTAGCCATAATTTTTTTTTAGTCACAAATATATTACCCATTTTGTATATTACAGCAATTTCTCACAAGTGAAAGTTCTGTAACTTTAGGTCATCAAATCTAAAAGATTATAGGGGATCCTTTCATGGACCTACTCACCTGGGCCCCCAAAAGTCTAGTTATGCCACTGGCAAGTGATTTTTAACTTGCTATTATTATTATCAA